TGTCCTTCTACTTGACTAGAGAAGTTATTGTACACCATAGTGATCTAATGTAAGGAACTTTTATTTTTACCCAATTGTATTCTCATTTATTAAATCAGTTAACTTTATGATGTTAACTCAGAAATCATAGTCCCTTTCATATCAGTGTGCAGCTTAAAAGTTGCTAGTCTACAGTATGAACTGGACATTTAGCATTTAACAGAGGGCAATGAAAAGCAAGTTACACTTTCATCTGTTTCTTACACCTTTATTATGTTTTGTATATGTCAAATTCTGTTAACATTAAAAGTAGTAAATATGGGTTATTTTCTTGTTTAAAGGTGGGGTAGGTAATTTTGGAGAAACCTGCTCGAGTGCGCTAGAATTTGAATATACACAGCCGGAAGCAATCTGCCACTTCCTTACAGAGCCCCTCCTCCAACACACACGAACGTGCACATGACCAATGAGGGCACGAGATAAGTTTGTGCACAGATGGAAGGCTGACAGGCAGGTAGGCCATCCAGTTATTTTAGCCGGGCCGGCTAAAATGATTGGCCGTGCTTTTTACAGTACTACGGCTTCCACAGATGACATTTTTTTATGAATTTTTTGTCAAAGCACTTAAGATATTCATTGCTATCGGGATGTTAAGAGCATTCCATGGAATATAACAAAAAGTGTATCTCGAGCCGGTTTCTCAAACTTACCTACCCCACCTTTAAGCTGAATTATCAACAGAAGAAAGTGAAAAACATAAAGACAGTTATTAACCATTGAGAATGTTTATTTTCATGGTCATAGCTGTGGCAGGAAATTGAGTTAAGCGACAATCCTCTCTCCAATGGGGATGGGGCCCAGGGTGACATCACCTTCCCATTCGAAAACTAGAAAGAAAGACAGAAGACACGTGTCACGTTTTTCACTGCTGGGGTTGTCTTACAACTCAGGCACACATTCACTAGGAATGCATACAATATACCATACCGTTATTTTCCCTTTGGGACACATCACGGATCTTCCTTCCAGGAGTCTGACCGGGGTTGGCGGCAGTCCAAGCTCCTTGATTTCCACCAGTTCCTCCAAATCCACCAGATTCACAGGAGCCACAAGCTGCATCCTGTCCGCTGGCCTCTTTCCACCTTGGAGGAAAGAAGAAGAAGAGAAGAAAAGTTAATAATGTATCAATACTCCAATGACACATTGTCAAAGAAGCCCAGACTCACCCATTGATGTAGGAACAAGCTCTATGTTCAGCATTGATGGGACGTAAAGTGGATGTAGCTTTCAGGTGGCATGTAATGTAGAGCTGTTAGAAAAAGAGAGTGGTTAAGTTATTATTATATGTATTTTTCCTGCATATGATGTATAGCAGAATCTTTTAATCAGTCTTGGAGATGCCCACCATTCCACTGTCAGCGCCCTGGAACCTGAAGGCCTCCAACTGGAACTGAAGCTTGTTCTCTGCAGTGCGAGCCATGAACTTAGAGCTAGAGCCTGTGATCCTTGCATCAACCAAACACCTGCATGCAGAAAAACCACATTAGAGGACAAACTTCTGTTTGTGATAATACATTTTCACTGTACACATCAATTTAAATTAACCAGCTCACCCATTGTTTTCAATGAAGACATAGTTAGGTATTGAGTTCATGTCAGGTTTAATGGTGGCTACGCATCTCTCCACATAGACACGGAGGGGCACGTGGAAGAACTGCTTGACAACAGCCTCTACATTTATGATGTCTCCCAGGTAATACTGGTAGCTTGGTCTCTCGTTTTGCCCGTCATCTGATCAAACATAAAATTAAAATGTAAGAGTGTTGCAAAATATACATTTCTAATCAAAGCTCTGTAAAAGGTTAATTCTGCAGATAAACTGTTTTTTTAACTCACCAGTCATGAGTCGCAAGGTGAAGTAAAGGAATTCCTCTGACACCTTAACTGCAGAGAATGGGATCCACAAGGGGTCAAGAGGAAGGCTGCTCACATTGTGCTTCCTAAATGATGAAATAGGTTTGCTTAAAATGCAGCTTAAAGTCATTTCTAATATGCATCCGCCACAGGTATCAGATTTGGTGATCCATGGTTACTGGAGTTACTAAATGTGTTAGTATTTCAATGTCATATTATGTTATTTATTATATGTTTGTATGTTCATTGCCACACCTCTAATGGTCTTATTACCTTGGGTAGTGGCATTCCACAATTACTGCAGCTTTGCTGGTCCTCACCACAAGAGTATCGGCCAGAGGTTTGGGATCATAGTTCAGAGTGAAGCTGTAGATAAGGTAATCTTGTGTCACCTAGTGGAAAAATGTATATTAGTACAAACAAATGGCATCATACATGAACATATTGGTTTACCATATTTTTAGATAATAATCATTGCAATCTTTCATTTATTTTTCAGTGACTACCATTTGTATTTAGCTTACGGTTAATGTGCTAAGACAACTTTGCAGTTCTGTCTCAAAAATCAACACTTGAGCAGCATTGTCCTCTGCGACAGGGGCACAGTTTCCCAGGGTAATGTCGGCAGGGTTGATAAATTGGCCAATCCCAAACAAGTCCTTCTTGGCTTCCACGTGAGCAATACTCTCTATGCACTTGACAGCAACAGTTGCAGCAGCAACAGGAAATCTCAACTCGAACGGCACCTCGACTTCAGGGTCAGGCGTGGGGTCTTCAGGGTATCCCCAGGTGAGAGGTCTTTCAAATGTCTGCTTACTCTGTTGGGGCATCTGAGGCTGTTGTTTGACAGGCTCCTGTCTCGGTGCTGGCTTCTGGTATGGTGCTGTCGGCATGTAACCACCCACAGCCAATTGAGCATGACATAAGCTGCCCAACAAGGCCAGTGCCACAAGGCACACAACAGTGGACTTTATCATCATCGCTTCATAACAGCAAGTGATCTACACAGTTCACTAGGTGATGTGAAGAAGATGGATATGTGCACCTACTTTTATAATAAGTTATCATGTTTGCTTCCACAAGCCCCCAGTTGGGTGCTTCGTTGTTGGAGTTTACCCCAGTGGACGAGAGGGTCGCCTCCCTACGCCTGCGGGTTATGGGGGGGGAAAACTCTGACTGTTGTGTGTGCTTATGCACCAAACAGCAGTTTAGAGTATACGGCCTTCTTGGAGACCCTGGAAAGAGTCCTGTATGGGGCTCCTGAAGGGGACTCTTTAATCTTGCTGGGAGACTTCAACGCACATGTGGGCAATGATGGAGACACTTGGAGGGGCGTGATTGGGAGGAACCCTGATCTGAACCGGAGTGGTGGTTTGTTACTGGACTTCTGTGTCATGGATTGCCCATAACAAACACCATGTTCGAACATAAGGATGCTCATAAGTGTACGTGGTACCAGAGCACCCTAGGCAGAAGGTCCATGATCGATTTTGTTATCGTATCATCGGACCTGAGGCCGTATGTTTTGACCACTCGGGTAAAGAGAGGGGCGGAGTTGTCAACTGATCACCATCTGGTGGTGAGTTGGGTCGAGTGGCGGGGGAAGCCTCTGGACAGACCTGGTAAGCCCAAACGTGTAGTTCGGGTGAACTGGGAATGTCTGGAGGAGGCCCAAGTTCAGGAGGCCTTCAACTCACACCTCCGGTGGAGCTTTTCGGGCATTCCTGTGGAGGTTGGGGACATTTAACCAGAGTGGGCGGTGTTCAAAGCCTCTATTGCCGAAGCCGCGGCGGGGAGCTGTGGTCTCAAGGTCTTAGGTGCCTCAAGGGGCGGTAACCCTCGAACCTCCTGGTGGATACCGGTGGTCAGGGAAGCCGTCCGACTGAAGAAGGAGGCCTTCAGGGATTTGTTATCCCGGGGGACTCCCGAGGCAGTTGCAAGGTACCGACAGTCCCGAAGGGCAGCAGCCTTGGCCGTGGCCGTGGTTGAGCAGGTCTCCCTTGAAAAAGAGATCAATGATCTCAATGGGATACACCTGGATAAATAAAGGTTTGAAATTAAATTAAATTAAATTAAATGAAAGCAGCGGGTGTGGGAGAAGTTCGGAGAAGACATGGAAAAGGACTTTCGGGCGGCACCAAAGTTGTTCTGGAAAACTGTCCGACACCTCAGGAGGGGGAAGCAGGGAACCATCCAAGCTGTGGCAGGAGTAAGGATGATATGTTGTTGACCTCAACTGATGGAATGTTAGTAGTGATGTGTCGGTCGCGAACGAGGCGATTCTTTTGAACGGCTCTTTGGTACGAACGAGGGGAACCGAGTCGTACTTGGTGAGAGCCGTTCTTCTTATCGTTCAATCAAAGTTGGTCCGCACTCACTGCCTGCCAAAATTCACTCGCCTTTTAAAAAGCTTGATTTTGTTCCCCAAACGTATTCTGTGAAGACCCGCCCCTACTCTGATTTGTAGGTTTCAGCACGAGGAGTTAGGTGGGGTGGGTCTTAACGGAATACGCGAGAGAGAGAAGTCATAACAAGTGGTACTGGACAGATAGACGACGTGTTTTTCGGATGTAAAATGAGCCAAACGCGAAAACGCAGCAGCATTTGGATGCACTTCAACCAAAACCCAGGCAGTGATAAAGCGCACCATTTGTAAAGGCAAAATATCCTTTAAAGCAGGGTCAACAAATAATCTCCATCGCCACTTAAAAACACACTACTAATATTAAGAGTTGCGTGAATTTCATTCAAGGCAAGGCAACTTTATTTACTTAACACATGCAGAGGGTAAATTCAAAGTACATTCACTGACATGAATGACATGGATATGGCGCCACCTTGTGTCATGTTTACAATGCAGATTATTGATATTAGGTCTGGCAATGCAGTCAATCATTATCCTGGTGATTATTTCGCAGATAAACCTAGTAACCCCGCCCCCTTTTTAAAAAAACGGCTCTTTTGAACGGCTCTTTTGAACGGCTCTTTGAAAGGAACGGAGCCATAAGATCCGGCTCCCTTCAAAGAGCCATAATTCCCATCACTAAGTGTTAGGGCGTTGGAAGGAACACTTTGAGGAACTCCTGAACCCGACAACTCCGCCCTCTATGTTAGAGGCGGAGCTGGAGTATGACGGGGGATCAACACCAATCTCCCGGGGGGAGGTCACTGAGGTCGTCAAACAACTCCACAGTGGCAAAGCCCCAGGGGTGGATGAGATCCGCCCAGAAATGCTGAAGGCTTTGGGTGTTGAGGGACTGTCATGGTTGACACGTCTCAGCAACGTTGCGTGGAAGTCGGAAACAGTACCGAAGGAGTGGCAGACCGGGGGTGGTGGTTCCCCCTTTCAAAAAGGGGGATCAGAGGGTGTGTGCCAATTACAGAGGCATCACACTACTCAGCCTCCCTGGGAAAGTTTACTCTAAGGTACTCGAAAGGAGGGTCAGGCCGATTGTCGAACCTCAGATTGAGGAACTGCTACCACCGCGACCCGACCACGGATAAGCGGGAGAAGATGGATGGATGGATGGATTATTTTAATGCATAACATTTTATACTATGCTGAAAAAATACAAGCTGCATAAATAAATAGTATTATGAACACAAAACTGTGGATGTGCTGACACAAATGTGATGGTAATGCAGCCAAATGAAACAAATATTAACATATGGAGGGTATAATTTGAAAATGAAAGGTCTTGGTCACAAAAGGTTATGTTGACCTTGGGTTAGGTCAACCTTCCCTCAACATCGAATTTCAAACTCAATATTTTGCCAAAGTACATTTTGTGGAGAGCTGCAAATCAATATGGTCCTACTCCAGGTTGATGTTTCTAAATGACCTTTACTGTGTTTACATAGAGATCAAATAGATTGGTGATCTTGAGAAGTAAAAAGAGTTTATAAATGAAATATTACTGCGAGAGAAAAATGAGATTAACCCCCAAATTGAAAAATAATACAGAGGTCAAGTGATGACATGTTTTTCCTTGTTTTAACCTGCAGATACGTGATTTACAATAAACTCCAATTATTAATCTGCTTTGCTTTCCATTTTCTCGTCCTCTTTTTTGACCAAATGATTTCAAATATAACAAATCCATATTTTATAAATGGCAAAGCTATTAAACAAATTATTAAAATCAAAATTGACAACAAAATGGTATGCAACCTCTAAATCTTTGTTACCGCAACAGCGAGAAAAAAAGCTTATCCAGGAAAAATGAATTGCTATGTCAACCAAGTACAGACTGATTGTATCAATGGCAAATAAGATAGGAAGAAGTATTTGTTTAGTCGAGTCCTGCTGCCCAAATACATGATGACCTGCACATTGCAGGTCATACAAACTCTGTGAAAGGTTTTGTTTTGAAATTGTACAAACAATCTGGAAATTCTGACATTCACGCTCAATGACAATCAGGGGGTTCTTAAGCATGGGTTGGATACTAATGAATACATATTCATGTTAATGCAACAGTGAGTTTACTACCATGTATGCTGTTATTATCTTCCGATGCAATATCTCTAGAATTCATGTTATTTGTCCACTGATATTACTTGTTTGGCAATCCATGAAATCTCTTTAGTGCATCACCACACACCACAGTCACTGAAGCTTGTGATTGGAAGTTATGGGCAGCAAATAGGATGTTAGTCCTCATCGTCAACATTACCAATAGGCCAACCTTATAAAAGTCAGCATAGCACCATCTTTTATTCCACAGTAGTTGGTGTTCCTTTCAAATCACTGTGAAGCCAATGCAATGAAGTTGATTCTTTCTTTTTTGGCAGTTGCCCTGCTTGGCTGTCTGGCTGATGCTCAAAATGTAAAGGAGCCCCCGCAGTGGCCAAAGTGGCATCAGGAGCCTCAGGAGCCTCAGCAGCCTCAGCAGCCTCAGGAGCCTCAGGAGCCTCAGCAGCCTCAGCAGCTTCAGCAGCCAAAGTGGCCACAGTGGCATCAGGAGCCTCAGGAGCCTAAAGAGCCACAGTGGCCACAGTGGTATGATCAGCAGCCTCAGCAGCCAGAGAGGCCTCAGCTGCCCCAGCAGCCAACAACTCCCCCTAAATGGAACCCACCTCAGCAGCCTCAGCTGCCTCAGCAGCCTCAGCAGCCTCAGCAGCTTCAGCAGCCAAAGTGGCCACAGTGGCATCAGGAGCCTCAGGAGCCTAAAGAGCCACAGTGGCCACAGTGGTATGATCAGCAGCCTAAACAGCCAGAGAGGCCTCAGCTGCCCCAGCAGCCAACAACTCCCCCTAAATGGAACCCACCTCAGCAGCCTCAGCAGCCTCAGCAGCCCCAGCAGCCTAAACAGCCAGAGAGGCCTCAGCTGCCTCAGCAGCCCCAGCAGCCTCAGCTGCCTCAGCAGCCTCAGCAGCCAACAACTCCCCCTAAATGGAACCCACCTCAGCAGCCTCAGCTGCCACAGTGGCCACAGTGGCCACAGTGGCCTGAGCAGCCACAGTGGCCACAGTGGCCTCAGCAGCCTCAGCAGCCTCAGCAGTCAAAGAGGCCTCAGCAGCCTCAGCAGCCTCAGCAGCCTCAGCAGCCTAAACAGCCACAGTGGCCTCAGCTGCCTCAGCTGCCTCAGCTGCCCCAGCAGCCTCAGCAGCCTCAGCAGCCTAAACAGCCACAGTGGCCTCAGCTGCCTCAGCTGCCCCAGCAGCCAACAACTCCCCCTAAATGGAACCCACCTCAGCAGCCTCAGCAGCCCCAGCAGCCTAAACAGCCAGAGAGGCCTCAGCTGCCTCAGCAGCCCCAGCAGCCAACAACTCCCCCTAAATGGAACCCACCTCAGCAGCCTCAGCAGCCCCAGCAGCCTAAACAGCCAGAGAGGCCTCAGCTGCCTCAGCAGCCCCAGCAGCCTCAGCTGCCTCAGCAGCCTCATCAGCCTCAGCAGCCTCAGCAGCCCCAGCAGCCTCAGCAGCCTCAGCAGCCAAAGAGGCCTCAGCAGCCTCAGCAGCCTAAACAGCCAGAGAGGCCTCAGCTGCCTCAGCAGCCCCAGCAGCCTCAGCTGCCTCAGCAGCCTCAGCAGCCTCAGCAGCCCCATCAGCCAAAGAGGCATCAGCTGCCCTCAGCAGCCTCAGCAGCCTCAGCAGCCTCAGCAGCCCCATCAGCCAAAGAGGCATCAGCTGCCTCAGCAGCCTCAGCAGCCAAAGAGGCCTCAGCTGCCTCAGCAGCCTAAACAGCCACAGTGGCCTCAGCTGCCTCAGCTGCCCCAGCAGCCTCAGCAGCCTCAGCAGCCTAAACAGCCACAGTGGCCTCAGCTGCCTCAGCTGCCTCAGCTGCCTCAGCAGCCTCAGCAGCCTAAACAGCCACAGTGGCCTCAGCTGCCTCAGCTGCCTCAGCTGCCTCAGCAGCCTCAGCAGCCTAAACAGCCACAGTGGCCTCAGCAGCCTCAGCAGCCTCAGCTGCCTCAGCAGCCTCAGCAGCCTCAGCAGCCTCAGCAGCCAAAGAGGCCTCAGCTGCCTCAGCTGCCCCAGCTGCCCCAGCTGCCCCAACAGCCTCAGCAGCCTCAGCAGCCTCAGCAGCCAAATAGGCCTCAGCTGCCTCAGCAGCCTCAGCAGCCTAAACAGCCACAGTGGCCTCAGCTGCCTCAGCTGCCCCAGCAGCCTCAGCAGCCTCAGCAGCCTAAACAGCCACAGTGGCCTCAGCTGCCTCAGCTGCCTCAGCTGCCTCAGCAGCCTCAGCAGCCTCAGCAGCCAAAGAGGCCTCAGCTGCCTCAGCTGCCCCAGCTGCCCCAGCTGCCCCAACAGCCTCAGCAGCCTCAGCAGCCTCAGCAGCCAAAGAGGCCTCAGCTGCCTCAGCAGCCTCAGCAGCCTAAACAGCCACAGTGGCCTCAGCAGCCTCAGCAGCCTCAGCTGCCTCAGCAGCCTCAGCAGCCTCAGCAGCCTCAGCAGCCAAAGAGGCCTCAGCTGCCTCAGCTGCCCCAGCTGCCCCAACAGCCTCAGCAGCCTCAGCAGCCTAAACAGCCAAATAGGCCTCAGCAGCCTAAAGAGCCACAGTGGCCACAGTGGCATCAGCAGCCTCAGCAGCCCCAGCAGCCCCAGCAGCCTCAGCAGCCTCAGCAGCCAGCAACTCCCCCTAAATGGAACCCACCTCAGCAGCCTCAGCAGCCTCAGCAGCCAAAGAGGCCTCAGCTGCCTCAGCAGCCTCAGCAGCCAAAGAGGCCTCAGCTGCCTCAGCAGCCTCAGCAGCCTCAGCTGCCTGAGCAGCCTCAGCAGCCTCAGCAGCCTCAGCAGCCAAAGAGGCCTCAGCAGCCTCAGCAGCCTCAGCAGCCTCAGCAGCCAAAGAGGCCTCAGCTGCCTCAGCAGCCTCAGCAGCCTCAGCAGCCTCAGCAGCCAAAGAGGCCTCAGCTGCCTCAGCAGCCTCAGCAGCCAAAGAGGCCCCAGCAGCCAACAACTCCCCCTAAATGGAACCCACCTCAGCAGCCCCAGCAGCCCCAGCAGCCCCAGCAGCCTCAGCAGCCTAAACAGCCAAAGAGGCCTCAGCTGCCTCAGCAGCCAACAACTCCCCCTAAATGGAACCCACCTCAGCAGCCCCAGCAGCCCCAGCAGCCCCAGCAGCCTCAGCAGCCTAAACAGCCAAAGAGGCCTCAGCTGCCCCAGCAGCCAACAACTCCCCCTAAATGGAACCCACCTCAGCAGCCTCAGCAGCCTCAGCAGCCCCAGCAGCCTCAGCAGCCTAAACAGCCACAGTGGCCTCAGCTGCCCCAGCAGCCCCAGCAGCCCCAGCAGCCTCAGCAGCCTAAACAGCCACAGTGGCCTCAGCTGCCCCAGCAGCCCCAGCAGCCAACAACTCCCCCTAAATGGAACCCACCTCAGCAGCCTCAGCAGACCCAGCAGCCTCAGCAGCAGCCTAAAGAGCCACAGTGGCCACAGTGGCCTCAGCAGCCTCAGCAGCCTCAGCAGCCCCAGCAGCCTCAGCAACCTCAGCAGCCTCAGCAGCCCCAGCAGCATTATCAGCAGACTAAACAGCCACAGAGGCCTCAGCTGCCCCAGCAAACCTGTGAAGTTGCTGACAATCAAAAGATACATTGTGGAGCTCCTGGAATCTCTACTGAACATTGTGAAGCTTTAAACTGCTGCTATGGTGGAAACATGTGCTATTATGGAAAATCTGGTTAGTGTTTTTCTTACTCCTCAAAGAAATACATGTATATCTCTAGTAATGTGTTCAATGAGTTTTGCATGATCCATAGTCTTTGCTTGTAATTGTGTTCTTTTCAGTGACCCTTCAGTGCACCAAGGATGGTCAATTCATCGTGGCGGTGGCCAAAGACGCCACCCTACCCAACCTCGATTTAGAGACAGTTTTCTTCCTTGGAGGTGGCGAAACCTGCAATCCTCTTGGCACTAATTCAGCCTTTGCCATCTACCAGTTCCCTGTCACTGCCTGTGGCACTGTCATGATGGTAAGGATTTTGACTAATTTAAATGTATAATGTCATTAGTATACATTTTTGTTGGGTAGTAATTAAAACTGAAATACTGCCAACCTACTGTAGGAGGAGCCTGGCGTTATAGTCTATGAGAACCGGATGTCCTCCTTTTATGAAGTCGCTATTGGACCCAACGGAGCCATCACCAGGGACAGTCAATACGAGTATTTATTTGTATTTGTTTAACTCTCAGTGGTCACAACATGAAAGATTACTACTTCTGTTGCTACTTCAGTGAATTCTCTGCTAAGGCCTCAAGTATTTAGACAAATCAGTGGTATCAATAGAATACAGTGAATTTACCTTGAATTCTCTACAATGGATTGGGGTTAGTTCATTGTGATATGACAAACTGCACTTTAATACTTTTCTGACCAACTGACTAACATAGACCTTATATCTTGTCTCAGGCTGCTTTTCCAGTGTAGATACATTGGCACCTCAATTGAGGCTCTAATTATCGAGGTTGGCCTGCTTCCTCCACCACCCCCAGTAGCAGCTCCAGGACCCCTGCGCGTGGAGCTAGTGCTGGCCAATGGAGAGTGTTCAGTCAAGGGATGTGTGGAAGGTTAGTGTAAAGGACATATGGTGTGCTGTCAGTCTCATTCGGCAGTGACTGTGCACTAACCACATTTTTTTTGCTTGAGCAGAGGAGGTGGCCTACAACTCCTTTTACGTTGACTCTGACTACCCCGTCACAAAGGTTCTCAGAGACCCTGTGTATGCGGAAGTCCATATACTGGAGAGGACTGATCCCAACATTAAATTGACTCTTGGAAAATGCTGGGCAACTTCTGCTCCCTACCCTCAAAGTCTCCCTCAATGGGACTTACTGATTGATGGGTAAGAGTGAATGTTGATTTTACTTTAAATAGGCATTTATAAAACTTTCTACGAGGCTATACTCAAAACCTATTCTTCACTCTCTTTGCCATAGCTGCCCATACCATGATGACCGCTATCTGACCGCTCTGGTCCCTGTGGACGCTTCATCAGGACTCATGTACCCAACCCACCACAGGCGTTTTGTTTTCAAGATGTTCACGTTTGTATCCGGTGGAGGTGTAAAGCAACAGGCTATGATTCCTCTCAACGAAAAGGTATAGGATTTAACTATCTAAGACAAAGGCTTTTGTCAAGTTCATTTTTTATATGTTTTTTGTAATATAAACTTCATAATTACGAATAATATATAACATTTTTTGACCAGGTGTATATCCACTGTGAAGCAGCCGTGTGTCAACCGTCTGTCGGAGATAATTGTGAACCTAGGTGCTTCAGAAACAGTAAGTATAACAATATTCACTATGTAATTATTCAAACCACCAATTTTATTTTTCTCTGAAGTCTGTAAAATGAACACAAGGCAAGGCAAGTGTATTCATATAGCACATTTCAACACAAGGCAGTTCAAAGTGCTTTACAAAAATGAAAAACATTAATAGCATTAAGAACTAGAGAATGCAATTCCTGAAGAAATTGCTAGTGGGAATGCTTTATGCTGAAAAGCTGACGCTAAACTGCTATGCTGAAATGTAATGTGTAAGAAGAAAGGGAAGAATTTAGATTGAAATGATACATGAACACTGGGGGCTTGAATGTGTGATGAGAGAAGAAAAGAAAGTAAAAAGGCTTGGAAAAGCAGCAGAATATTTGAACTGCAAACTTTTGAACTAACTTGATGGCGAATGATCTGTCGCCATGCCAACGGCATTTGATGACATCCCATAATACGCTTAGATGCGTTGATGGCTGCATCGTTACCAAAACTGTGAAGTTTTGGGCCGTTTGGAGCATTTTCACTGAAGTTATGAGAAAACCGTGTTTCATGGCGAGCATTGTGTTGCCATGGCAATAGCATTTGAAGAAATCTCAAAACTGTACCGTAGATGTTTTCACGGCTGGACTGTTAGCACACATGTGAAGTTTGAGCACTTTTTGAACATTTTCATAGGAGTTAATGTATAGCGACATCGTCTTTTATGGCGAGGGATGCGTTTCCATGGAAACGGCATATGATGACACCCCATAATTGACGTAGAGCTGTTGAGGGCAGGACCATTAACCATTATCTGAAGTCTGCTGCTCTGGGGCCTCATTTATAAAGCCTTGCATAGGATTGGCGTTGGAAGGTTGCTTACGTAGGACAAAGCAAATAAATAGACACTGACACTTTCCGATTCATAAAAGACTGTGTACCGGCACAGGACTTGCGTACTGCACATCCTACGCCGGTTTCCCTTTATAAATCACAATCAACTCGCTTTTGCGGGCTTCACGTAACGCCCATATTTGGCTATAAATTGTCAAAGAAACGCCCATTCATTCATTCATTTTGACTGACTGCATGAAGAAGATCGCAGGAAATGACGACAGAACAGCTAAAAAAGACATCTCACACCATGTCAGATTTTGGTTATTTTGGGGAGGTCGAGATAAATCATATTGTTTGGTGGATGCAGTTTGAACCAGAGTAGCAGCATGGAGGTCGGATCGTCACCAAAATAAATAAATAAGTGGTCCGAAAAAGGTTAATGACAAAAAAAATACACATGGCCTAACCTTCCTCAGGCAGTGTGTTTGTACCGGGGACAGGAGACACGTTGATGAGAAACTGTAAGAAATGATCGGGGAATCCCTCCGGAGTGGAGTCATGACGACTGGATCTGAATTATTTGTTTGTATTTGGTGGTTTGTGTTCCAGCTGTCGATCAGCAACTATATAACCATAATCCACCAGTTAAAGGAAATACAACTAATGTGTTGTGTTATATTAGCTGTACAATTTACCACATATGGTGTTCTTAGTCTCCATTCCTCCTGTGTTTTACGAGCGACTTATCAAGTAGGCTATTGGCGAACGGCATAAAACATGATTAAACATATACAACGTATATAAAACCATGCTCGTATCTATACAACCTATAGAAATGCTAAACGGTCTCAGTTTAAAGTAATGCTGTCCTTCTGTTTACCGCATCATTTATGAGAATACATTTCTTAACAAGAGAACATAATCGAGGGGTGATCAATAACATTTCCGTATTTATTTATTTCTCCAAGTTATGTTTTTGTGTGCACTGAGGAGTCTCAAACAGGCGTTTGTTAAATCATTTTAAGATTGGCTTTAATCAATTTGTGAAAATGAATTCTTCATATATGATAAATGAGAGGTCAAATTCTATTTATGGTATTATTTCCACATATTTCTCTCCATTCTTCCTTCTGCCAATGGTGTCGCAGTTTCTCGTCTCTCCCGTTTTTGTGCTTAGTGCGTACGCATGGGTCAGAGTTTGCGTGGAGGACCGCACATTTTCCCGTCAAGTTAGTTTTTTATAAATCGCAAACAGTGCGTAGAAACTGGCGTACGCCATCTTTTGTGCGTACGCACCGTTTATAAATGAGGCCCCTGAGCATGTCAGTTGGAGTTATGACATCATCGTGTTCCATGACATAGGTGTTTATATTTGAGCTAACGACGTGTCCAGAGATCAAAGGTATCCATGGTGATGTGCACTAATCAGTGAGAGGAGAGCATTTTCATTGTTCTGAATGAGAGATAAACCTGTTACATGTGAACGTTTTGTTAAAGAACCGTAACAGATATCGGTGACATTTCAAAGCGTGAAGCATGTCAAGGAACTTGAGCATCTGAAGTGTACTTTTTGTGTACTTTCGGGTTAATAATGTGGCCTTTTTGGCAGATTAACTAAAGGTGTGCGGCTGCTGTGGTGGGGATCGATGAGGCTGAACTTAAAATTGTTGTCTTGTCTTTATTAGGATCCCCATTAGCACTAGCATGAGCATTGGCTATTCTTCCTGGGGTCCTCACACACACAAAACATACATAAACATACATACAATAAAATTAAAACAAATATTTTACAATTCTTTTTACAAGTGACACACCCCTTCCCATTTTACATACAACATTATCAATTTGTTTAGACCAAGATAATTTATGATCCAGGGTTATACATAGCAATTTTGTCTCCTTGACCTGTTCAATTTCAATATGGTTTAAATGTAGTTGCAATTTTGGTTCACCTTTTAACTGATGATTTGATCCTATTAATAACGATTTTGTTTTTCCCGCATTAAGTACCAACTTATTATTTATGACCCACTCTGATATCAGTAGTAGATCTTTATTCATAACATTTGTTAACTCTCTTGTAGTTGATGCTGCATAATATATTGTTGAGTCATCTGCATACATTACAATTTTAGCTTTTACTAACACTAATGGTTGGTCATTTGTAAAAATAGAAAATAAAAATGGTCCCAAACAACTACCCTGAGGTACTCCACAAGTGACTAGTCATCTTTGAGAGACTTCCATTAAAAAAAACAGTTTGACTTCGATTTGTCAGGTAACTTTCTAACCACCTCAGCGTTTCAAAATTAAAACCATATTGTTCCAGCTTGTGTAACAACAAAGAATGGTCAATGACATCAAAAGCAGAACTAAAATCAAGTAGTACTGCACCCACTAACTTCCTATTATCTAGTTCGCCCTTCCAGTCATCTGTCATTTGTGTTAAAGCGGTGCATGTCGAATGGCCAGGTCTGTAAGCATGTTGATACACAGTATTAAGTTTGTTACCTTCAAAGTATTTTTTTATTTGATTGAAAATTATTCTCTCCATTGTCTTTGCTAACGCTGGTAATAAACGTATTGGGCGGCTATTTGTACCAGAAAATGGTCCAGCTCTACATTTACCTAGTAGACATTCAACATCTGTAATTGTCACTTTTTCTATTTTAAATGTACACTTCTTATTTTTCATAATTAAATCATTTATTAGAAATGTGGAGTTACTATTTATAGTTTGATTCATATTTCTCCTCAAATGTTTTACTTTATCAAGAAAATAATCATTCAGATAATTAGCAATTTGTACTGGTTTTGTCAAAAATGTCCCTTCCACCTCAAGATATGTTGAGGTGGATTTCGGCTTACGACCCATCATGCCATTCACTAAACTCCACAGTTTTTTCTTGTCATCCTTTATATCTTTAATTTTATTTCCATAATACAATTGTTTTTTCTTTTTCTTTAATGCTGTAACATAATTCCTTAACCTTCTATACATTTGCCCATCTGACTCATAACTTGATGAGTTTTGATGAGCAACATGTTTTGCATCATCTCTTTGTTTCATTAGATCCCTTAATTCCTCATCTAACCAGGGTGCTCTAAAGTTCCTTACTGTCTGCTTTCTAAGTGGAGCATGTTTATCAATCGCCTGCATAAATAACTAATTAAAGACATCAAGAGCATCATCTGGATCGACTTTCTCAAAAACATGTTTCCAACATATCTTTTGAACATCCTGTATAAATGACTCTTCACAAAAATATTTCATTGATCTCCTCACAATTACTTTTGGTCCTGCTTTTGGCACCTTTGTCTTTCTCACGATAATTATTAAATTATGATCAAAACACCCTACTGGAATTGATATTGCCTGAGAACATACATGGCTAAAATTAGTAAATATATGATCAATACAAGTTGCACTTTTTGACCCATCTTTCTTTATGCATATCCTAGTAGGTTTAGTCACCATTTGTACCAAGTTACATGTATTAGTTATTGTCTGCAGCTTGTTTTTAAGGGCACAGTGCAACATATTCCAGTCAATATTTAAATCTCCGATCAAATAAATATCTCTGTCAAGATCACAAACTTTATCTAACATTTCACATAATTTGTCTAAATAAATTAAGTTTGCATTTGGAGGTCTGTAACAACATCCTACCAACAAAGGTTTCAAGTGCCACCTACAACTACTGCTTCACCATTAACTTTAGCCCATAATACTGTTGCAGCAACAACAGCAGCCCCTACAACTACTGCTGCTCCGACAACGGTGCAACATACAACTACTGCTACACCTACAACTGCAGCCCCTACTACTGTTGCAAACAACAACAACCAGCAGCAGTAGTTATATTTGTTGCTGCAACGGTGCAACCTACAACTACTGCTATACCTACAACTGCAGCCCCTATTACTGTTGCAACATCAACAGCAGCACCTACAACTACTGCTGCTCCAACACGGTGCCATCCTACAACTACTGCTTCACCATTAACTTTAGCCCATAATACTGTTGCAACAACAACAGCAGCACCTACTACTACTGCTGCTCCGACAACGGTGCAACCTACAACTACTGCTACACCTACAACTGCAGCCCCTACTACTGTTGCAACAACAACAGCAGCACCTACTACTGTTGCAACAACAACAGCAGCGCCTACAACTACTACTGCTCCGACAACGGTGCAACCTACAACTACTGGGGTTAATCCAGGACATGTTGAACGTTTTGTCACTTCATGCCCTCAAGAGGCATTTTGTTTAATTATTTTGCTTAATTATTTTTAAATGTTTCAAGATACGAGATGTTTTCCTACGTTTCTCATGAAGAATTATGTCTCAGGAATGTAGGGTTTGGGAATTATGGCAGGTTTAAAAGAAAATATAAAGGCAAAATTAAATCTGTCCTCCACTCTAGCTGTGACATCACGCACTCTAAAATCTGAAGAAGGCCTCTTTACCAAGGTCTGAACAATGTTTAATATCTCTAAAAGTATGAATCAGATTTAAAAGTTGTGTTACACGAATAATGTCAGAAAGATGTGTAACATTTTAAAGTTGGAATGAGGTTTCTGAGTGAAAGTATGAAGGAGCAGTTAGCAGTTGAAGTTGCATGAAGATTGTTCAAGTCTGAAGAGTTTCTCCATTGACTTCCATGTTAAAATTGTGATGAATTATGGGATGTATCTCTGGAATTATGAAAGTTATGAATAACAAAAGTAATAGCCATCGATTCCCGACCGAGCTGAACGTTTTGATGTTTGAACGGAGTTTCTGCGATGTTCAATGTGGGAGAAGAAGAGGCGCAAAATAACCAGGCGGAATAATAAAGAATTTTGTGCGTAGCATAACAGATAGTGGGAATGCTGTGTCAGCATTCCCACTAAAATAGTGCAGTGGAAACACATTATAAATGGCATTTAAAAACAGTCATTAAAAAGCAAAGAGATTAAAATAAACATAAAACAAGCTAATATAGAATAAGGTATGAAATACATGCATACAAGTTACAGTGCAGTGTAAGATATGAATAGTTCATTTAAAAGCAGCAGCAAAATGAAAGTATTTTATCCTGGATTCAAATAGTAAGAGTTGCAGGGGACCTTCAATTTTCTGGGAGTTTATTCCAGATTTTTGGAGCACAATAACTAACGATGCTTCTCCATGTTTAGTTCTGAGTCTGGAGACAAAAGCAGACTCGTGACAAACAGTAAACTATAGAGTCATGTTTTGTAAGTGTTAGACAGGAAAAGTATGGCAGATGATTTGAAAATCAAAAAAGCTGAACATGTTTTCACCAAAGGCGTATAATGTCTGATGTCATCTTGTGTCTTTTTCAACCTCAAGTCTGACAGCAACTGACCATTGGAATGTATTTTACACAGGGAGAGACGTTTCTGTCCAGAAAGGCTCCAGAGAAGAGACCACTGTGGTTAGCAGTAAGGAGCTGGTCTTCATTCAGTAACAGCATTACATTATCATGAAATCTCTTTTTCTGATGTTTTGTGAAAAGTGATTGAGTTTCAAATAAATACCCAATTGCTGAACTATGTTTTCGAGTCTTATGAATTGACATTGACAATGGCATATTATGACTATATGACTCAACACACATGACTTCAAATCAATGCAAACTTTATTTCCATAGCACATCTCAAAACATCTGCAGTTTGACCAAAACAGGCACAGATTACCAATGTATACAAAGCAAAAAAAACAAACAAACTATAAAATAATCATTGTAAAACAATGCAGGACAACAGAAAAAAAGTTAAGGTGTGAAGCTTAACTCTATCAAAAGATACATATTCTTAAACCTGATAAGGTTTTAATTGATTTTTGTTTTAGAGTGTTGAATTTCAGAAATATTTATGCCTGTTGTTTAAACTCATTGCTTAAAGGCAATACATCATGGTTTCCCATAAATGTACATTTACAATTATGGATATGGTATTTGGCTTTTGCAATAGTTGATTAATCAACTACATTAGTGTTTTGTATACCATTATCAGAGACCAAACAACAAATTGCTCAAAAGCATTAGAAGCCTTTATTAAAGGCTTCTCAATTCTCTAATTTCCCCTCCTCGACTCCTATCCTCGTGTCTTAGTCCCGCCCACAGGAGATGCGAGCGGAGGAGTCGAGGAGGGGAACCGAGGAGAGAGGAGGGGAAGCAGCAGGCGGTTAGAGAAATGAGAACTCCTCTCCTCTGAGCGGTCATTTTAAAGAGACGTCCGTTAATGATGACAGGAGGCACAGCCCTCTGTCTGATGGACAGAACTGTGTTCATGACCACTTATATATTTACTTTTAATTCATTCACAGTGCGGTATAATGAGACAATAACAGGCTAAAATATGGATTTGTTATATTTGAAATCATTTGGTCAAAAAAGAGGACGAAAAAATGGAAAGCAAAGCAGATGAATAATTGGAGCTTATTGTAAATCACGTATCTGCAGGTTAAAATAAGGAAAAAAAAATGAATTGCTATGTCAACCAAGTACAGACTGATCTGAATCTGCATACAATTTTCTATGTTTGACAGGAAATACTAAGTGTGCCAATCTCACAATATTTCCCCAGCAAAGTTCTTAGAAAATGTGTTAGTATTTCAATGAAATAAGATGTTCAGACATGAATGTTATAAATATATAAATTGCTAGTATATATTACATGAATCCAGCCATCTAGAGAATGTTGAAATGCTTGACGTATATGCACACGCCACTTACTTAAAGTGGACCTATCATGCTATATTTAAATGATGTATTGCAGGGCCATACCTATATAAGGTATATTTATATTTTTTTCTTTCAAAATACCAAACAGATCATGCATTTTAGCCATGCCTCATTTAGCTTTTTTTTTAACTTGTTTTTGCAAGGGCTGATTCTGTGAGAACAGCACCACCTACAGGCCTGGCATATGTACTACAGCGTCTCCAGCACTTTCGAACGGCAATGGCCGTGGCTGTCTCCTCCTGGTTGGTGGAGTTGGCCCAATAGCCGTAGCGCCACTTTCCTGACGTCAGTAAAGTGTTCAAATCTGGATCAGTTTTTATCAGATCCGTTGCAGCCCCTTTTTTAGAGATTTGGGTATGGAGGAAAATAGAGAGGGTTGTGTTTTCTGACACTTGGTGAGTTCCCTAGAACACCGGGGACACATATTCATGTATAAAAGACTTACAAAAGTGCATTGTGCATGATAGGTCCCCTTTAAGTCTGTAAAATGAACACAAGGCAAGGCAAGTTTATTCATATAGCACATTTCAACACAAGGCAATTCAAAGTGTTTTACAAAAATGAAAAACATTAATAGCATTAAGAACTAGAGAATGCAATTCCTGAAGAAATTGCTAGTGGGAATGCTTTATGCTGAAAAGCTGATGCTAAACTGCTATGCTGAAATGTAATGTGTAAGAATAAAGGGAAGAATTTAGATTGAAATGATACATGAACACTGGGGGCTTGAATGTGTGATGAGAAAAGAAAAGAAAGTAAAAAGGCTTGGAAAAGCAGCAGAATATTTGAACTGCAAACTTTTGAACTAACTTGATGGCGAATGATCTGTCACCATGCCAGCGGCATTTGATGACATCCCATAATACGCTTAGATGCGTTCATGGCTGCATCGTTACCAAACCTGTGAAGTTTTGGGCCGTTTGGAGCATTTTCACTGAAGTTATGAGAAAAACGTGTTTCATGGCGAGCATTGTGTTGCCAAGGCAACGGCATTTGAAGAAATCTCAAAACTGTACCGTAGATGTCTTCACGGCTGGACTGTTAGCACACATGTGAAGTTTGAGCACTTTTTGAACATTTTCATAGGAGTTAATGCATAGCGACATCGTCTTTTATGGCGATGTTTTATGTTTCCATGGAAACGGCATATGATGACACCCCATCATTGACGTAGAGCTGTTGAGGGCAGGACCATTAGCCATTATCTGAAGTCTGCTGCTCTGAGCATGTCAGTTGGAGTTATGACATCATCGTGTTCCATGACACAGGTGTTTATATTTGAGCTAACGACGTGTCCAGAGATCAAAGGTTTCCATGGTGATGTGCACTAATCAGTGAGAGGAGAGCATTTTAATTGTTCTGAATGAGAGATTAACCTCTTACATGTGAACGTTGTGTTGAAGAACCGTAACACATATCGGTGAAATTTCAAAGCGTGAAGCATGTCAAGGAACTTGAGCATCTGAAGTGTA